GTGCTTATCAATGGAAAAAATTGTCTGATAAATTTTAGAATAATAAGATATTTTAACGAATGATATGATAAATATCATTCATAAAAATTGATATTTTAAGATGATATGAAATTTGATAAGAACAAAACATGAACAAATTCTATTTTAATAATCATATAAACACGATTATTAAATATATTTCAAAGGTTATTTTTAATTATTTTTCCCTAAATTTATTAATTTTTATGCGAAAATTTATTAATTAACCAGAAATTATAATTACAATTAATCAATAAAGGCTAACTAATAGATAATGAAATAATAAAGGTTAGCTAAGCTAATTAGCTTGTATAGATTGTAGGAAATGTATATAATCACATGAATATGATCATGGAGCAGTGTTAAAAAAAAAAAAAATAGAAAAAGAAGTTAATGAAGTGTTATTTTTTTTACGATATCCGCAATACGATATATGCATTCAACAAACAGTATCCTTTCTTAAAACGATACGGTATTTCATAATAAATATACAATTTAATAATTACAGATGAAATGTCCGTAATAAATTATTTTACAATAGTAATATTAACTGTAATTTAGTGATTACAGATGAAATGCGCGAATAAATTATTCTACAGTTAGTAATATTTACTGTAAATTGAAGAAAGGAAGCTGATAATGAAAAAGAAAAAGTCAATGAAGTGAATTTAGCCTAAATATGATAATGAAATGATAAAAGCTAACGAATATTGAAAAAAAAAAAAAAAAAAAGAAAAGAAAATTCTATTCACTTTACTAATCAAAATAATCATCGATTAGAAATAACCAAATAGGTTTTAAAATTGATACATTCAAGCTAATCCAATCATTTTGAATTAATTCATTAGGCTAATTGATCAGATAATTAATATCAAGGACTAATTAACCGAATCCGATCAGATTACTGAATTACTGAAAACTAATCCAAATGAAATTGACTCATCATATCAGCCAGTATTTATTATATAAACAAACATCATTGTTTCAAACTAGTTTGTGAAATAAAATTTCAAAAATGTTGAAAGTCTTATATATATATATATATATATGTATACATGTGTGTGTGTGTATGTGTGTGTGTGCCGGTCTGTCCGTCTGTCTGTCTGTCTGTCTGTATGGGTGGGTGGGTGTGTGCGTTTGTTGATCCGCCCACTTTGTTTAGTTAGGACAATTTAACAATTGAATACAAATTTCACGAATGTTTGCTTGGATATTTCCGGTCGTTTGTCGGGGTTAAATTTTTAACATCAAACTATTTACAGGTTGATTCAACCGGAAGATATAAAGGAATAAAAAAAAAAAATGCTATTCAAACGGAAATAGCTTAAGATAAAATGAACAAAACATCACATCGAAATTTTCGTTTTTT